GTATATCTCAATGTATATCTGATATCATCTAATGTGATGATATCAGATACATGTGAAGTATATCTCATGTATATCTCAACAATGTGATGCATACCTCATCCCGAAACGTTGGGTTCAGTTCGTGTTCCTTGTCAGGCATTTCAGTGGAACTCTTCCATAAAACAGATATTTCTTGGTTTATTCTGAATTCATCTCATCCTCGCACCGAGTGTTCTGATGATCAGTTGAATCGAGTGATGCAAAATTGATCAAAGTATTTTGTTTCTAATTAACTGATTTCTTTCAACTTCCTCTTGACATCATTCCCTGATTCTGCAGAAATGTACTAATTTCATGTTAGTGGACTCACAGCTGCCAAATATAATGCATATAGTAACATGTCTTGCTGCGGATGAATCGAATTTCATTCGGTGTTCAATTTTTGCGATTGTTTCAAACATTTTTCATGGAATTGCCGCTAATCCAGTCTACAATCTGAGTGGTTCGTTTTGTGCGTTTTCATCTGCTTTCATCTACTGGAAGTGATTTTCACCTAAATTTTATCAACCATATTGTTAAACCGGTGAAGACGTCTCTTCTCTCATCAACTTTCCACAAATTATGTGCAATTTACAGAAGACTTACGTCGTTCGTTGACGTTGTTTTTGCGTCAGTTGAGCAGTGAAGAGACAATGCGATTGTTCAACGTGATCGAATTGGAGTCAGCACAAGAAGTTGTCAATAGCGCACTTCGAATGCAAATGATCGAGAATGCCGATCGAATCGCACATGATTCATGTAAGTCATCTTCAAACTGAATGCAATTTCGTGCCTTTGGTTTCGAAATGTTTCTGAGTGATCCAACTCTCCTTTTCATAAAATGTGATGTAAATATAGAATGAAATCAACAATCAGCTTGTTAAAGAATTAAGTGTAAATTTACAGCTGATGACAAGAAATCTATTGACGACGACCAGAATATGCACACATCCTTGTCGAATATTCATCAGTTATTAACGCTACTCATTGCGATGGTTACGGTGCGTTTTTCAACGGACCTCTCATCATTTGTCGCTCACGTTGGAGCGTTTCAAGACCGTTGAATCTTTCTGAGGAGTTTCGCTCCCAACTACACATAACGAAGTGTTTTTTTATACTGAGCGAAACAAAATGAAGCTTTTAAAGGATGTGGAAAAAGGTTTGGAGGGTGAACGAGACTGGCTGGTGGCATGGCGTAATACGGCTCGAAAATGGGCATTCACGGCATCGAATGTTCAAATTCGTTCGTTGATCGCTTTCAGTTGTTTAGCGAATTCGATCAGTGATAACGATATCAAAGCTGTTGTGTCGATTTTAGTACAGGTTCAAACATCCATATTTCAATGAAATCTACA